GGCCCTTCGGTCGGTAGCCTCTTGGCCCTTCGGTCCCTGAAGTTCGACCTTGGTCCTTCATCAATGGACCTCGGTCCTTAGTCGATAAACCTTAGCCCTTAGGTCGACGAACTCTCGGCCCATCGCAGCGGGGATGCATCCGACTTTTTCTTCGCATGGTAATATTGGCGGTCCACTGGCACCCCCAAACTACAGAACTGCATCTGGAATTCCTGTAACAAGTCTTTCCAATTTCCACGAACAGATCAACTTAGTTGACGATACCAGTTCTGGGCAGGTCCAGTCAATAATCCTCCAATAACAAGACACTTTTCCTCAATCTGGCGCTTGGTCCCTCTTCACAGTGGTCACTCAACTGCGTGATACGTCCTCATATTGGTCTTTTCCGTGAAACTCCTTGAGATCCGAGGTCGCTGAGAGCTTGATACGAGGGACCATGTTAGGCATCTGTTCCAGGGTAGCATTGGACATTCTTACCAGAGGTTCATCGAGGTCCATGTCGTCTGGGTCGTATACGCACAAACCTACCGGCTCCATCTCCACGTCGGTCATCCTTTGGTTACTTGCAGCTTGCATACCTTCACTTGGACCCAGCTGGTCCGTTGACCTCTGCGCCCTCTGTCGACTTCTGGCCGCGCTTCCATCGATGTGTGCTTGCGGTACTTGGCGTTCTTGTAAGAATTTCGCCATTGCCACTTTGCCTGTGAATTACCTACCGGGTCGGTAGGCACTCCTCCCCAGTCAACTTCGTCACGTGACGAGGTATAACTCGATACTGGTCTTGGCTCATTTCTGATTGGTTGAAAATTTGACATATCAGACGCCCGACTTTCCCTTGGCTGTACAAAAGTGGCCGTTTTGTGAGCTCGCTGCTCGTCGCACGCGCTCTCCGCTCGGGCCTGCAGCAGCGACATGCCGGTCGGTCCTAGCGGCATTCGGCCCACGTGACTAGCGACGGGCGACCCTCGCGATGTTTGCCTTTCAGAGACCTGAGAACCCTGAGGCAAGGTGGTCTGTGATAGACCTTGCATACACCATGGATTATTGATTGATTATTGCTCTCAAGGGTGGACCTCGATGTCTTGCAGGGTCATCTGGCTGTCGTCAGACGGTGCTTTGCAGCGGTAGCATGAGGTGAGTCGAGTAGTACTGGGGTAGTTTCCACCAGGATACCCAGACGTTTGTGTAGGATTCCTAACGTGGTCTTGATATTGTTGAGCCCCAGGGAAAACACGTCTTCAGGCTATAACCTTCCTGCAACCATGCCCACCTCGCGAAGGAGGGGCACGAGCGCGGTGATTGCGTTTGTCAACGTCCTTAGCTTGGGAAGGGTCGACACAGGTTCACTGAGCGGACCCAGCAGTCGGATCTCGAGGGCTCAGGTGACGGGTTCGCTCTCCAGGAACGCGTCAAGCTTGAGTCGACGGTAGGTTATGGTCACGTCCGCATCCGCCCAGGACAACGGTCCTGAGGTCTAGTGGTCTACCGACTTGGTGTCACCTGATGTCTTCATCCGAAGCTTGGTCGGCTTGGACATGGCGATCGTATTTGTTGTATGTTCTTATCTTTTGGGGACAATAGTCTATCGGTTTTCACCCTTCGACTGATTGTCCTCCGGAGCATGACAGATATCATGACCCAAGGCATCCTCGTCGAGGACATACGGAGAGTAGTTCGGTTTATCTTCAATAAGTTCAACCCTTGACCATATTGAGCGGGCCCCTCCCAAGGTCTGGTCGGTCCTTCGATCCTTTGTTGTTTTCTTGTGTAGTCACTGGCGATCGGTCTTCCAGTGACTCTTCGGTCTTTCTCTCAATCTTTGCTTGAACATCTTCATCTTCTTGGGACTCGCGGTGATATCCCGCGTCTTCCGAAGATCCGGGCACGCGCACCATTGTGGTGGAGTGGGTTCTCAAACTGCGTAATGAGACCCCAAACCACTCACTGTGCCGGACTGCCAACTGTCGGAGGGGGTACCCCGATGCCGCGTATAGACTATCTCTCACCTGGTGTACGTCGGCTGGTGGGTTGCACTCTTCGGAGGACTTGGTTGAGATGTGACGTCGGCCTTGAGAGAGGTCGACCTTGGGGTGCCTCGAGTGGATATAATTCACTCAGTAGGCGGGTAGGTGGCCACTCGGTCGACTAGGTCGAGGGTGGACTTATAACCAAATTCTTTAGGGGAGATTCTCAACCATGGCATTTTCCTTGATATCTCAGGGGTGTTAACCGCCTGGCCTTTACTTGCTCCCGGACCACTAGGGTGGGGAGACCCCTTCCGATAGCGGGTTGGTTTGGGGGGTGCTACTCAGACGAACCCACAGGCCAAATTATCCTGGGGCTTTATTCGCACTTGGGTCTTACCACACAACTGTCTTCGACGGGGGCCAAAATGTATCCCTTCCCGAAACAGGTGGGTAGACTTAGTAAGTACCTTGGAAGCACGACGGAGGTGTGCTATGTAGATCGCAAATTGAGTAGTATATAATATAGTCCTATCTTTTAACTTCTTTACTCTATCCTTACCCCCAAGACCTGATTCTGCTTGCCGAGGAGCAGAGGGGCCGGGAGGCCCAGGGGCCGAGAGGCCAGGTTGACCGAGGGGCCAGGTGACCGAGAAGCCGGGTGACCGAGGGGCCGGGTGACCGAGAGGCCGAGGAATCGAGGGACCAAGGGGTCGGGTAAACGAGTGGCCGAGGGACCGAGGGACCACCGACCGAGGGACCACCGACCGAGGGACCACCGACCGAGGGTCCACCGACCAGGGACCACTGGCCGAGGGCCCACCGACCGAGAGACCAGGGTTACCTCGAAAGACCGGATGAACAGGCGCTTATTGAATGGGGTCTACCACGAAAGACCAAGGTCTACCAACGTCAATCTTGAAAAGAACGGATTTCACCTCGGAGGAACCGCGGCCTAACCGCGGTTAGCTCCTCTGAATGGAGCACTCTTGAACCGTACAATTTCCTCATCCAACGGCCGTTACCCGTCCCTTTTTAGCGCCCCGTCTCTCTGTCTCTTACCCAATGGTCGCTCCTCCTTGGTGGGTCCCCTTCTCTTTGACCCTCTTCTGACCTACCAATTCTTGAAACGCTTCACCACACAGCGATCCCTTGATCCTCAGCTTAAGATTTCGATAAGAGATTCATGCTGTCCAGAACATAACATACGTCATATTTCATTACCATATTCTTCTGTGCATCACATTCCACCAGTATCTGAATTGTTCCATGACGAATTGGCGTCGTGTTTTAATTGTCTTTTGAAAACCATGCACGCTATCAGTTTGTGTCCCTTGTTCAAAACGTTCGTAATCAATCAAATATCGTAGATCAGATGCCACGTGTACATGTGCAGCATTATCAAGGCGCCACTGCCAGACTGGGTGGTCACTTGACCCATGACAGCTCTTTGTTACCAGTGGGTGCCACAATTTTAATAGGTTTTATCTTCTTTCTTTTACTTAATTTTAAGCCGTCATTCAGCTTGCTGTGCTTCATATGAGTCGTCTTTAGCTGACTACGTTCTGACTGCGAGTTTTTCGTAAATTTGGCATGTCTGTCATCGTTCCTTAACGGGACAGTTTGCCATTCTATGTTCCGGCTAATGACACCTAAAGCAGGTTCCTTGCTTCTTTTCTGTCGTTATATTGGGTGTAGTTCGTTGACATGTTTTTCAATTAATGGTTTCTTAACGGGCTTGCTTGCGTTTGGTCGTTGCCATAACCAGACCTCTTAACGCCTCTGTCTTCAAGTCCTTGCATGAACCCTCTTGCGCCGTGCCTGCTAGTCTCTCGATCACATTTGTTGAAGCTGTCCAACCGGAGGATTTGATCTTTCAATTTCTCTGATGTAATAACTTTGTCATCCCGTAATCCAACATTTTCTTTTCTCGCATCATGCCCTTGTAATAGACCCAGGATTGGCCACACCATCCAACAGGCCGTCCGTCCTTGTTGATATCCGCTTTATTTGATATTGTCGTCAAACAAATCGCGAAATGAGTCAATGTGTATCTCTTACGCTGCTGCCCTGTGTAGACTTGGGCTCATAACCCTGTTGCAATATCCTATGCGTTTAGCTTTGTTTAGCTAGTACCGTGGTCTTGCCTCTACAAGAAAATACCCGGTGTGTACTTCTAACATACAATTAATATATTTACTTAGCTACGCTCTTTTCGCTAGGACGACTTGCTCTGTTTGCTGCCAATTCCAGACTTGAGTGATCCACTCCTACACGCGCTCTGTTTGCTACTGCCTTGTCCCGTATCCCACTAACTACCAGTATCAGTTAAGACAAGTTTTACTGTTAGTTGCATATTACAACAAAGGTGCCAAAGATTTTAAATGTGCACCTTGTTATGGTTTGTGATTGCAGATCACATTTTGGGTGGATCCCTCTTGTGTGCATTGAAGAAGGGCTCCTGCGCACTATCGCATATTTCGAGACTTAGACCAATCTAAGTACAAGCGGCCAACCAACAACACAGCGCATCGAAAGAGTGAGATAGCGACCCAGAGTAAAGAAGCTCCTCGTTAGCTATTGCACTCAAACGAGTATTGGTTGTTTCACGCTGGGAGCTCTGCATCGAACAGGCTGAATGTAGCTGTCGAGGGTTGCAAGAGTGGTGCTTATGCAGCAGCAGAAATCATAGGAAAATAAGCAAGCCAAATTGCCCTGATACGCTTCTTCACATCCACTACGTAAAAGCTGTTGAGACGTCCCATGCGTTGTTATTAGCCATGGGTAAAAAAAGACGCCATAACATTGTATTGTCAAGAAATCGCAGCTTTCATGCGTTCATTAATCATCACATGGTGGCTTATTGATCAATGATGGGGGGGTAAAACATCAGAAGCGAGCAGCAGTATAGACGAATTACGTGCTTATTGGATTTCGTAAACACAAACCCACATGTGCCTTTACGCATGTGCCTTTACTCATGTGCCTATACCACATGCCTTCGGATCGCTTCTCCTGTTACATAATTATGTAAGCTTAAGTAGCCACGTTTTGCACGGTTTGCACGTCTTCTTGAACACCGCCACCTTCACCGATCTTTGCACCAGGAAACTTAACGATCACAATGCTTGCGTTATCGTGGCTGCAATGCACCAACACAAACTAATATCAGCGAAGAATAAGGTTATCACTACAGAGCATAAAAAAACTACCTATTTACACATTGGTCCAGAACCTCTTCCGCAATCTGTTTCAAGTCAGCCTTGCCTTCTGCCATGCGCTTACGAATAAAATCACAGACCTCATAGTTGCTCATGACATCACAGACACCGTCACACGCAAGCACCAAAAACTCCTCCGTGTTGTCGATCATAGTCGCAATCACATCCGGAGAACAAGACACCTGCTGCTCTGCGGCCGGCAAGTCGGTGCGGGTCTTGTAGCGAAAGTCGCCAAGACCACGCGAGACCGACAAATCTCCATCCACGCGATTGTCCCACACCGTTCCGCCTGCATTTATAATACGCTCATACTCTTTTGGCTACAAACAGTAATCGTAACCATCTTACTCACGTTAGCAATGAACACCATCAGTGCATGTATGTGTTTTGTTTCTCCTTCTTGCTAACATGTCTCTCACCTTCCAAGGTTTGTGGTCACGGGACATCTTGACTGTTTCGCCATCTCTAAATAAAAAACAGCGCGAGTCACCCGCGTTTGCCACGACAATACCCTTGGGCGTAATCAGTGCAACAACCGCCGTAGAGCCGCTCCGTACACCGTAGAAGGTCTCCTTGCCATACGTATCACGGATACTTTTGTCCAAACTCACAAAGGCCTTACGCATGGCGTCACTCAAAGCGTCGTTACTTTGTCTTGAGCTTTCGACTTCCAACTTCCCGTCAGAAGATATACTCTTCAATGCATTCGCCACTTCTTCCGTGATTCTTTGAGAGGCCAATTGAGCAGTAAGATGACCGCAATGGCCATCAAATATAGCAAAGAGTGAAAAGCCCTCGGGTAAGCCAGCCGGTTTAACGTCTGCCACGTGTGCGTCCTCCATCGTCTGACGCCATCCCTGCATGGCAGCAACTGCATATTCAAGACCATTACCCGTTCCACCTTCTGTTTCCTTCGTAGTATCAGGCACATCCATCAAATACATGATTTTGTTTGTCTTCAACCCTCTTGTTTCTTCGTACGTAGAACTATTTAACTCTAACGATACTTTGCTGTTTTTTTCATCTTGTCATTTCATGTCTAAACCTTCTGATGGATATAATTTGACTAGTACTTCAGATGGATACGTTTGGCAAGAACTTTTCTCTACATTTTTATTTTGAAACTATCTCAAATTTTAGAACTTGCTTAATTGTTTGGAAATTTGATTTGATGATATTCATGTTTTGCATGAAGCATGTTTTTGACTACCTGGTTGTTATTTTATTTCGCCACTGTAATAACGCTTTAGAATGCAGCATGTCTGGTTGTGTATTTATCTACTCGTAGCTTGTGCAAACTAAGAGGACCGGATGACAAAATACAGCAGCAAAAACACCATGATCACAAACAGGATCAGATACAGCATGTGTTTGCTTCCACCCTGTTCCATCATGACACCAAGTCGCTTCATAGTGCCCCCTAGCAGTCCCTCTGTATTATCAAACTCCTTGCCCTGTAGTAGAATGCAAGCTTGTCACTAACCACCACTGTAACTAGTATCAAAAGGTCAACCACAAGACAATATTCGCACCATGCCATCAAGAAAACGGTTCTGATCCACGACTTCTGAATGAATATTACCTGACAACTGTAGTAATGTGTAAGTAAGTTACAACAAATGTCAGGATAGTCAATACGTAGCAAAAGCTTGCGACAATATCCAGCTCCACACCTGCTTTAGCTGTGTGATCTGCAACGATAAATGACTAATTTGCTCGTCATTTTGCTCCTCTAGTAGCCGTTTCGCCTGCTCGCCATTGTCAACACTCCTTCCATTCTGCAACATTCCATTACAATAGCGGAACAAACAATACAAGTAAATACCTCTCATACAAAACATCTTATTCTAAAAGCAGCTAGATACGTATGTACCTGTGTTCGAGAAAAGGTACCTGAGAAAAGGGCTTCTCGCGTAGTTGCTCGATTGTTTACCATTCGATTGTACATGAATGAACGCTGCTAAGACGACTCTTTATAAGCTTGTAAGTTAGTTTACGTCATAAAGCTTGCGGGTGTATTTTACTGGCTAAAAACAGTAAAAGAAGCAAAAAAGCACAGGCCCCTTTATGTGGTGCACACCGCACCAGCTAGAACACATTTTTGACAATTGATGATTCACGTTTGCTTCAACTTTTGGTCATTTATTCGAATGTTACTTCACGTCACGTATGACACGACAACAATCAACATCAAGGCATCGAGTCTTCCGGTCGCTTGATTATCACAGTCTTGTGTTCCAAGTAATTGTGCAGCCCCAGTTCTCCGTTCTCTCGCCCAATGCCCGAGTCCTTGAAGCCGCCAAACGGGGCATTTGCATCGAAAACATCGTAGCAGTTGACATACACTGTACCCGTGCGAATGCCATTAGAGATTTTAATTGCATGGTCAACATTCTTAGTCACAATACCAGCACCAAGTCCATAGGCGGAGTCGTTGGCACGCTTAATAACTTCGTCGATGGTCTTAAATTTGAGAATAGGCATAACAGGACCAAAGATCTCCTCACGAGCAATAGCCATGTCATCCGTTACATCCACAAATACCGTAGGCTGGATGAACCAGCCCTTATCACCATGGCGCTTGCCACCAGTTAGCAAGCGAGCGCCCTCCTTCACACCCTTGTCGATGTAACTGAGTATCTTCTCAAACTGACTTTTATCAATTTGAGCTCCCTGCTCCGTGGCGGAGGAGAATGGGTCGCCTACGACACGAGACTTAGCAGCCTCCACCGATCGTCTTACAAACTCATCGTAAATGCCTTCTTGCACGTACACACGCGTGCCGGCAATGCAGCACTGGCCCTGATTCAGGAATAGACCGAGCTGTGATTGCTGGATGGCCAAGTCGATGTCGGCATCGTCCAGGATGATATTGGCCGACTTGCCACCAAGCTCAAGCGTGACACGCTTAATATTGCTCACGTGCGATGTGCGCATGATCTGATAGCCAACCTCAGTGGAACCTGTGAAAGCGACCTTGTCGACATCGGGATGCTGCGCGAGGTGGCAGCCAGCAGTAGCACCCGCACCCGAAATAATGTTGATCACACCCTTAGGGAACCCAGCCTCTACAATGAGTGCTCCGACGCGGAGAGCAGATAGCGGTGTCTGCTCAGCAGGTTTTAGCACAATGGTGTTACCAGCCGCAAGAGCTGGGCCAAGCTTCCACGACATCATCAACAGTGGAAAATTCCACGGGATGATTTGTGCGCACACACCGACAGGTTCGGGCTTGTTGTAGCAAAAATAAGGTCCCGTAATTGGGATAACGGTGCCATGAATCTTGTCGGCCCATCCAGCGTAGTAACGGTAAGTCTTGAGCACAAGACCAAGATCAGCAGTCTTAGCCTCAGCACATGGTTTGCCATTATCGAGCGCTTCGAGGGCAGCAAGCTCGTCAATATTTTCTTCGATGAGGTCGGCAAGCTTGTAAATAAGACGACCACGATCCGCAGCGGACATGGTGCGCCACGGGCCGTTGAATGCTGCGCGAGCAGCAGCCACCGCAGCGTCAATATCGGCTTTGTCAGCCTCAGCGACGTCGGCAATCTTTTCTTCTGTAGCAGGGTTAAATGTCTTGAAGGTCTTGCCCGAGATTGACGGCACAAATTGGCCATTAATCAGTAGATTGGTCTGCTTCACGGGAACGTTTTTGGCTGAGAAGTAGCGTGAAAGCATGACCGGCTTGGGAGCGAGTGCAACTACTTTCGTAGCAAAGGCGCTTGCCTGGACGTGAAGAGATTGACGTAGCATCTGGTGGTACATGGCGGAGGTTACGAAGAAGCTGATGAAGGTGGCGATTTAATACAACAAGCGTGTAAATTGCAGAATGAGCAGGATTCGGCCAACTAATGTGCACTAACTTCAACTACGATCTTTCCACTGTGTCTTTTTGTATCTAGAACGACTCGAATGATGTTAACGGTAATGCAATGACTCTTGTTATCAGATTGCATCGTAATCGAGAATGATGATGAAGGAACTTTCAAAGCAAACAATGTAACAAAGTGTATTTGTGCTTCAAGAAAGAGCAACAACGTGGATATAAAGTAGAGGCATCTCCATTTTACGATGAGGTTAGAATCGAGTCAGAAAGGGGCTGCGGAACAAACCTACACTTGTGAGTCTTACACGCGATCTTGAACACCGAGCTGCACCACACTCTAAAAGATTTTGCTCAAGATAGACGTCTTACAAGCGGTCGTCGAAACGGGCGAGAGGTGGCACCTCAGCGGGCAGACCCTTGCGGATACGTACAGCGTTTACCAGCTTGCCGGACATGTTGTTCGTGTCAGTCGGGTCACCGCTCACAACCTGGTAGTGGTCAAACACACATTGCGGGAAAGCCTTGCCACCTGTAGCTTGACGCAGGTCAGCCGTGAAACCAAATGACTCGTTAACAGGCAAGTAAGCCTTCAGCTGCATCATTGGAGTACCGGGGCGCTGCTCCTCAGCAAACACGTGGCCACGACGACGAGTCAGCACTCCATAGACACCGCCAACAGCATCCTGAGGCACCTGAATGTCGGCAAGGAAGACAGGCTCCATCAGAGCAGGCTCTGATACCAGCTGACAAGCGTACACCACACGGCGAGTGGTAGGTAAGATCTGGCCCATGCCACGGTGAATAGCATCAGCGTGCAGCACCACATCCAGCAGGTTCACACGCATACCACGCACAATTTCCTCGCATAGAACACCATCCTTGGTGGCCCAGTTAAAGCCGCCAAGCACCGACTCCTTAATTTCATTCAGATATGATACACCCTTGGTGGCGTCCACAAACAAGTTTGCACCTGTGCCATCGGGACCGTAGCCCCAAATCTTACGGGCGTCCGTCACGTCCCAGCCGTGGTTATCGGCCAGATAGCGAGCCCGCAGCTTTTGATCGAAGCGAGGGCTCACTTCATCCTTTCCTTCCTCAATTTCTTGCGTCAGTTCATCGCTCAGAGGACCAGCCTCGCAGAACAAACGGTTGTGCTTGTTCGGCGACTTGGACAGACACGTCTTCGACGAAGTGCCCGTAATCGTCTCACGGTAGGACACAACAGGCTCCGAAATCTTTACCTCCGTGCCCATGAACTCCTCCTGCAGATCCTTCAAACAGATCTCGAGGTGAAGCTCACCGGCACCAGCAATAATGTGCTCACCCGACTCCTCCGTGTAACACAGAACCATAGGGTCAGACTTCGACAAACGCTTCATACCCTCCACAAGCTTAGGCAGGTCCGCAGCGGTCTTGGGCTCAACAGCCACACGCACAACAGGTGACACGGAGAACTTCATAGTACGGATCGTGTGACCCGTCTCAGATGTGGTAATCGTACCAGACTTCAGCAAGTACTGGTCAACACCAACCAAGGCGCACGTGTTACCAGCTGGAATGTCAGGCGTCTGCTCAACATAACGACCCATCATAATGACCGTACGCTGGATGTTCTTCACCCACAGGTCAGTCTTCTTGCCAGGCACGTAGTTAGGACCAAGCATGCGGACTTTCTGACCGGTAGCGATCTTGCCCGCGAATACACGACCAAAAGCATAGAAACGACCCTTGTCCGAGGTCGGCACCATCTTGGACACGTACATGACGAGAGGACCATTGACGTCACACTTGCGAATAGCCTCAGCGCACTCATCGTCCTGCGGACCTTCGTACAGAGTGTCAACACGGTACCTCTGGGCCGTCACAGGGGACGGCAAATGTACCACAATCATCTCAAGAACAGCATCGGCAGCTGGTAGCCAGCGCTGCATGACACGCTTCAGCAAGGGTTTGCCTGTAAGCTCCTTCTCGTCCGACTTGAGCTCAACGCCCACGGCCTTCATCATCTTCTCGTACTTGGCCTTCTTGTCATTCATGATGGCCTCGAACATCTTGATGATGGGATCCATGATAAACTGACAGAAAGCACGCTTGAGAGAGCCCTCCGCGTTGTTTTTGCTCGTCCACTTCTTGTTGGTGGCATCAAAGTACCAGTCACCCCACAGCTTCTGCATCATCTTGTCTTCAGCAATACCAAACTTCTTTGAATATAGACGAGCAAACTTTTTCAGGGTAAAACCCCACTGATGGAGACCTGAACCAAAGGCGACCGTGCCCTTCTCGGGATACACCTGAACATCTCCCAGCTTTTCATCAAAATAAGTGGCAATAACTACGTTTACCGTCTCAATAGCACGAGTAAATGATTGGTAGCAGTCCTCAGGCTCAAGATGTAGCTCAAGTAAAGCACGATCCACTTTGTTCACCATGAGTACAGGCTTCACGCGTTCACTAATTGATTGACGCAACACTGTCTCCGTCTGCACGCAAACACCTTCAATACAATCAACGACAACCAAAGCACCGTCCGTTACACGTAGAGCAGCCGTTACTTCCGACGAAAAGTCAACGTGACCAGGTGAATCAATCAGATTGATCAAGTATGAATTCTTAGAAATCTGCACTTCTTCTGTCTCGCCTCCAGCAGCAGCGGCAGCCGCATCATTGGACTCTTTGGCAATAGCAGCAGCAGTAGCTGCCTCTCCAACGTCCATGTCGTATTCAAAAAACATTGAAATACCAGTAGACTTGATAGTAATACAACGTTCTTGCTCATCAGCACGTGTGTCGGTAAAACGGGCTTCACCAGCATGTTTTGCTGAGATGATACCGGCTTTCGACACCAATGAGTCCGTCAATGTGGATTTACCGTGATCAACGTGAGCAATGACGGACATATTACGAATATTCTTCGTATAGTCCATGATCTCACGCATCTGGTCAACTGTGAAGTTCACCTAGAGGATGAAGTAACATTATTTCAAAGAAAAGAGGCATATGCATAAGTATGTGTTTATTATATCAATTTGTTTTGTATTAATTTCAGACGTACCATAATTGCTACTTGAGTATAAAAAATAAAAGGCTAAGCGTATACTTTCGTTCTCTCGTTCGGGCTGGATCCAAAAGAGGAAATGGTGGGTGCCAACCACGTTCTAAAGGACGTCAGCCGATAAAAGGGGGGGAGTAGAGAAAGAGAAAAGGAGAAAAGAGCCCACAAATTGGTGGAGCACAGCGTCCCTTCCGGTTCGTAAGATTTGAGTGGACGTATACCTCTTACAATGAGACTGTTCAATCGAGGTTCATTTTTTGTCTAAGGTTTTTTGGATATGTGGTAGTCATTTTTTTGATACAATAGCCCATAAATTGGGTATATCGTAAGGATATTTCGTAATCGACAAACAGGAAGAACGTGTCGCGTTGTGTCTTAATTGTTGATAAGTAGGATTACTAGATTGACAGTCGTATATAAAGTATTGATACGATGCTATACTACCGCTTCAATCGACAGTAGACCATTTTGTGCGATTTCTACGTTTCATGATGTCATTGTAAATGTGCCAAGTATTTAGCAGGATGTCGTTGCCATTTTCTTGTATCAAGAAAAGAAGCAGCAAGACTTGAAAGGATTCGTGGCCACATTTTGCGAGTATAGCATTGCGTCTGCGTTTTGCTTGTGGAAAGCGGCCCATTACAGCTTTGCACCGAACGTTATGTGGTTTGTGGAGTGAGGCAATTGCAAAACACTTTTGAGTTGCACATTTAGTATCGTGTACTTGTGTGCTAAAGAGAATGCAAAGTGTAGATAAACGATAGTGCTTCAAGCGCATGAAAAGTCAATCATTTGTCTAGTGCTTACTCTATCTCTCGTCTTTCCTCTCGTCTTTCTACTGTATCTGCCATACAAGCACGAGCTCATTAGCGATGAACAGAAAAAAAGACCCGAGGCTGACACCGAGCCATCGTCCCTGTTACAAGAAACGATGACGACTTGAGCTTGCACTTTTGTCCGACAAATGCTCATTCCAGGCCCCACATCTACATGAAAGTGCTCGACTGATTCAACTGGCACTGCTTGAACTGGTCAAGGTAAAACTGGCACGAGCTTATGTCGTTGCTGTTAGAATTCAGGCACTCCAGGAAGGCCTTTTGGTCAGCGCCGCACTGATTCTCCTGTGGCGGCTGTGCGGCCTGGTTTTCGTGTGAGGCCAAGGCGCTCTGCTGCTGTTGCGGAGCCTCAGAGCTTCCCGAAAACGATCCAGCTACGGCACCCACGGCACGATGAGCGACAGCGCTGCCAGTACCAAAGGCCATACCTTGAGCCACCGTGCTCATGAGGCCGCTCATCAACCCGCCACCACTGCTGCTCTGGTGAGCTGGAGCGGGAGCAGCCTGAGCGTGCGCAGGGGCAGGCGCAGCGCGACGCGACTGAGCAGGTGCAGGGGGCACGACGAGGGGCCGGGCGGGCGGCAGGACGAGAAGAACGAGAACGGCCCATACTATTAATACGTCTCTTGTATCTGATTTCTTAGTCTCTTGGTCATTTGTCTGTTTTAGTTCTGACGGTGAGGGCCGGAGCTCTTTGTACCACACCAGGTGCACACAAAGAATTATCGAGAATCACAGGATTTTTTGCTTTGACCTTCATTCTTTATGCTACCAATGAATGGCTGAGTTAACGTAAGCTGAATCTATTGTCTTCAACAATGCCATTATGTATCAGGTGTTCGGCCATTCCGTTCCAATTGCTCAACACGAGCCGTCAACTGCAGTAATTTTGTATCCACAGTATCAAAGCGAGTGTTCAATTGAGTCTGCATGGCCATTACTTTCACCAGAATTAGATTCAGCAGGTCCTTGTTCTCGTCACTATTGCAGTTGTTTTGATCGAGGCTGCCTGTAGCCATTGTCAGCAAGTACAGTTGATTGCTGCATGTCGCTAGTATCTCTGACAATAGGTTCAAATCGTGCATGCGATGGCACCTTGAGCTTGGACAGATAGACTGGTAATGGTTCCAGGTTTGTAACAGCATGGAAAAATGGTCCGCGCTTGCGCTTCTCAGTGGAGGCGACGCTCACAAACGAGGACTTCTTGGCAATGTAAAGGCCTCTGCATACGTGCATGGGTGGCAGCTCCTAGACGGCATGCAAACAACATCATTACACATAGAGATTTGATGCTGCACAACTATCGACACGACGATAGTGATATCGCACCAGTTCACCAGATAGCGAAGCTGTCCACTCCGAGCGACCGGAAATACCCATATGCACAATAAGCAGACGCGCGGACAAGGTGCTACCAATAATGACTCGCATCGCCTGCCTCCGTCATTTACGATGTAAGCATCTATGCGAAGTTGCAATTCAATCGCAGCGAATATGACAAACCTGGACAAAGAGGACGTCAGGCGTGGTTAAATACGGGAGATTGAGGATCGAACTGATGTTCCACCTCCTATCTTTGTATTCAACAATCAGCAAGTGCGAGCGGGGCTCTACATGAGGCACGTTTTTGCGAGGTGTAGTATCCTGCAAAAAAGGAAGCAGCAAGAAGATAATATTAGACAAACAAATTCCAGCACTTCATACGTCTTCTGACTATGTACCTCAACGCGGTTTAGAATAAGAAGCGGATTTTGTACAGAACTGGTCGAAACGCGCATAGAAGTCAAATCAATGATATCGCTAGACGAAGTCAACCCGTACTCTTGGACATCTTGACAATATGATCTTGCCGGTCGTACAAACAAGCTCGATACAGTCCCTGTCCCACTTGAATCGGGTTTTATACTTTCAGACGCAATCGCGAAGCCCGCACGCGTGATGTCTCCCAGAACCAATCTTGTGTCCGTCGTAAGAATGCAGACAGTTGGAGACACACGGGCAACATCAGAAATTGGACCGACACTATCCTGGATGCCTTTTAAGTGAGAGTTTGCATCTATTCGGTCATGTTGCGGTGATTCCGAGAGTAAGGATTCGACAGTTGTCCAATAAAAACAATGAAGGACATCATGTCGCGCTCTGTAACACGACGCATATACTGATTAGAAGAGAACAACCTCACGTCAGTCAAATCTCAAAGAACTCACGTGCATTGACACTTGTAATCCACAAGGACTCCACGAATTCGCACTCCATGCTCGTCGCGTGCTATCACTATCTGTGTAAACTTCACGCCACGATAATACTACTTGTGAAGCATCAATCAACATAATGTCGGTCTTGGAGAAGGCCTATAACATATGACAAAGAAATTTACGTAAATTCGTAAGTTCACCCACTAGAAGAAGTAATGCCACAACCCAGTTTCTGCCTTTGCTTACGAGCAAAACGTCATTACAGGGGCTCCAAGATATTCCTTGCAGATCATAGATGTCCACACAGCCCTTCAAAATTACAGAGATACCACTGCACGAGTGACAAACCACAAGAGACTACCGTAAGAAAGTAGAAGTAACCTGATGATTACATCAAACACCTTACCTTGTCATAATAACCTCCCATATTTCGACTTGATTTGATGAAGCAATCGCCAGCAGGCTTTTCGTTTTTGATCCTTCAGACCAAGCAACAAGCCGATAACGTAACGATACATCATCCTAGTCATAAGGTCAATGACAGTGAGTTGACACCAAAACAATTTCTTCCACATATAGATTTCAGACCTCACATTGTTCATATCGTCTCCATGAATGACCAAAGTCTCAATTGGTTGGTCTAAGACACATTCCCTAGAACTCATGCTAGTATCAGTATCTTTGAATTGCATGATGACAACTCTCGGGCCAAGCGTCATTGCTGAAGCTTGCAACTTCGAGTTGAATCCTGTAGATACAAAGCTGATCAGTTAAATCTTCCCAGCATAATCAAGACGAAATGGATGCACCATTATGTAACAGATTGGTCTTAATGCCCGTCGCAAACCACGCCTTGCTCCACTCTGTTGGTCCATTGATAAGCATTTGTTTTGCTGGTAGTCAAATAATGCCCTCTTTTGATTCGTAGAAATCGTATACAAAACTTCTGTTAAAAATAAATTACGAACCTAGGTAAAGTACGTAAACTATCTGCTCCACAATGTATTTTATATCAAGGTTCTATGCAGTTTGCTTGACGTGCTTGGAAACTTGCTAATGATTGTTGGTCTATGATATCAAGTTTCTCGAATCAAATGAATGATCATAATGTATATCAGCCAAAGTTCTCTATCCTTGTTTGAATCTGTGCTAACTTTTTTGTTCTACCTTTGTAGACTTCGTATAAGCTATGTGTAACACGTCGACAACTTCTGCTGTATGTTGCAGCAGAAAAGCAAGTGTGATTCTCCCTGCTCTTTCTTCAAATTGTACCTGCATTGCCCGACCAATGGCTTTGTCACTTGGGTATAGCTCACGCGATTGCTGAGCTTTTGTATGCAAAGCCTGCTTTATTAATGGCGTAGCTGAAGTTTCATCATCCAGCATTGCACGTCGATATTTCCGCCAGATGTGCCATGCTGTTTTCACATGCTCTTTCTCGACTCGCGCTCGAATTTCGTTCATATACTTACTCTCCTTTCCAAGCCATTGCAGGACACAGCGTCGCTCATATCGTCTAGCAAACAGACACAGCTCATCCTGCTTCTTCTCGATGTTTCGATTTTCTTTACCCTTACCTGCCACGCTCTTCATCTTATCCAAAGACAAAAACCACTTTTTTGCCGTCGTCGTATGAGGAAACGACACGAACAGTTCTGCACGATGAAATCCCACACGCAACGCAGTCTTCTCCATTATATTCACGTACTCTAAGCTTGACGGATAAACCTGAAAAACCGCACGAGTATCGTGACAACTGGAAAGCTGTTTTACCAGCGATGAAAAGCAAATTTCCAGTCCCTTTGGCTGCAGCCATTGCAGCATAGATATTCCAATTGCAGCATCAAGAACACCGTCGCGAATTGGCAGTTTTTGTGCTGCATTTCCACAATAAAAGTCAGCACATGCTTGAGCTTCATACGCCCAATGTTTTTCTTCTTCTGAAGCGAGAGCGAGCATGGATGCACTAATGTCAAAGGCCAATGTAAAAGCTGTCATCATTTCTTGTTCGTTCAACCAATCCTGGGCTGCTTTTGTGCTTAATCCAGAGCCTGCACCCAAGTCTAAGAGAATAAACGCATTTGTCTTTGCAGTAGAATGTATCCACTTCATTGACTTCAATTGCAAGAGCTCTAAGGTATGACGCGTCAGATCTCTCTGAATACTGGCATTTGCTTGTGTCGTATAGACATTCGACTGCTTTTCATTATAAAAGTCACGCGCTGCAGCTGAGAGGGGCGTTACCAATGCATTATTACGTTCCTCTGGTCGCGGACCTTTGAACGGCATTGCCAATCAAACTATGTAGCCATTTTACCTATTCGTACGAGAATCAATCAATTGCCTGTATAAATAAGAGCTGACATTAAATAACTGATTCTAAGCTTGAACCGTGCACTAGTGTTCAATGAGATCAACTTAATACAAGAAAGAATGTTTGGTCTCTCGATGATCGATCATGTGCGTCTTCAGCGTTGTCAGTCATGGCTATTTCAACGTGGTCAGAGCCGCGGGGGCTTGACTGCCAATTAAATGTCGGACACCGTGAGTTGCGCCGAAAGAGTAGTACCAAACCGACAAGAGGCGACACACAAAGTAATATTGCTGCACCAGCTACTGCACCACCAATCAAGACACCAAGAACCACAAGTCCTAATGCCAATACAACTGGTGCAAGCAAAATGTACCCGGATGCACAAAAACAAGTTGTAAATGCTTGTCGGAACGTAAGGCGAGAATTCGCTGTGCACGGATAGAAGAAACAGCCGAGAATGCAAAATGTCACAGCCAATACAAATGCTGGTGGCCCAAATATCACAAAAAACATCACGCGTGTCACCACGCCAAAGCCTTTTTGGGCAGCACCTTGTCTCTCGATGTCCGCCATTTGATTGCCTGCACAGCCGCGGATATTCCACCACTGCAAACGCAACACCAGCAACATTTAGAATACATCAGTTAACATGAGACGCAAACGTGTATCCACTGTAAGTAGTAAGTAAATTCACCATAATTGCAATACCTGAAAGTGTTCCGGAAAGACACTATCATCGATAACCTTCAAGCAAATCCAGCAAAAGCTAGTGGTGCACACCACACATTTCATCTGGTTGCAACCACCAGTCTTCTCCACATGATTCTGACAACCAGGGCACGGTTTCGAAATTTTACTGATCAGCGCGTTGTTAAGCTTCTCCACTGCAATCATTTTCTTGTCGTACTCAGCACAAGTGCGACCTTGATGAGCACTACTGTGCACAAAGCAGAAATCACCATTGCACGCTTCACATTTGCACTCTGGATGATCGCTTCCGGCACATAACTGCGAGTGGCCGCAGTACGGGCATTGACGGGCGAGCTCATGCTCTTTGTTGAATTTGAACTTGCTATACTTCTGCCAAGTCTCCTCCGAAATCAATGATCGAATGTCATCTACCAATATCTCAGCTTTACACGCCGTCTTGTCCTCCAAGTTTTCAAAAAAACATTTAGGATACACTTGTCCCTCTTTAACCTTAAACTCCAGATAATTTGTTAAGCACGTTTCACAAAATGTATGCCCACACATTGAAAGTGCATACGACGTGTCCGTCGGTGCATAATCGTAGCAGATTTGACACAAAAATGTTTCCTCCATCGAAAGACCAAGTAAACTTGCCATAGATCGTAGCAAGCTAGGCACAGAACGTCGTAGACTATTGCTCTCTTGTCTCCTGTACAAACCCAAATCCTCACTCTCTACTAGCTCCTCTTCGACATTAATAGACAACCGCTGACTAGAAGCCCCAACGGCAACAGAAAAGTCTTCAACAGCTTTCTCATTCCTCGCCGCTGCATCAAATTCACTCCTTCTCATCCTTGATAGCGGCAATGACCGCCCCCGATCTCGAATACTAGTCAAAGTACCCAAAGTTTGCCCCGCAACAGCTTGCAAAAGTCTAGGTATCTGATCCCAACTGTCGCGTCCTGTGTCTTCCATCGTAACCAGTACTTCATTCTCCATCATAGTAATGGAAGACCCACCACGAGACAACATCAGATCTGATTCTCGCACCTCGTTCTTTTCTTCATTAATACGACAAAGATCACCAACTGCTGCAGCAGCAGACGCTGATGCTGCTCGTATCCGAGATAAATCACCCTCAATCTCTAGTGGTAACGATAAAATCTGATTCTCAAGAGCTGTCAATAATGAAGTGATATGAGCGGTCCACACTTCTGGCACATCTTCTTGCTGTTCATGTTCCTGTTGCCGTTGTAATTGATGAAGCCGCCAACACCACTGCATACGCTCATCCTCACCAGAAAATGTCTCAAGCTGTCGTAAAGAGTTGTAAAGATCTGCCAAATACGTGGCGCGATGACGGGTCAAAACTTCGGGCTTCATTTGAACTGCTGGAATTAGCCTCGACATGGCTACTGGCTAGACATGAGCTGTAATTGGTCTATAATCATGACATATTTTTAATTTTAGCACTGAACTTGCAAAATTGAGACGACATAAAAAAGACAGCATAAATACACCTCAAAGTAAACTTTAAGTTGCTCAACGTAATCAATCACTTGGATTAGACAACCATTAACAACAATGCTGCACTTTTGTTGAGCTGCAAGTATCATGACTCACGTATTACAGTAGTATTCAGTAAGAAACCCTGCAATTTTCCTCTTTTTTTCTTTTCCTTGATACTTGATAACGTTACTTTTATCCATTCAAAAGCAACAAAGAGTCGTTGATAAGATGCATTGCAGATGTTGTATCCACAAATTGGTTGTTAAAGCTTCAAGTACTGCAATTGTTCTCGTTAGTTTGTCAAGAGCAATTATCTTGAAAGATTTATGCATCGATTTTATGCAGATATTGCACAAAAGAATAGTAAAGACAGTAGTAAACTCATGCATAAAGATAAAGAAGCTACTCAAAGTCGGTTAAGAATTCACTTTCTCGAGCATCAAGTGGTGCAAAAAAATGATGAAGGCAAAATGGTGTGGTAACATCGTATTGTGTAGACCTCCGGAATTTTCGAGACCTATTCCACGGACTTAAATAGTCAATATATCAGTCTTTTCAATCTAACAGGTTTTGTTCTTCTGAGACACGTAGATATATCATTAAGTACGCTTCAGTTATTCGTTTTAAAAGACAAAAACAAAACGTACGACTCGCAAGCCTCCAGTCTCAAAATTTCCAACTGTTACGCTTTCATACCACAAGTATTGTAACGTGTGTAGAAGAAGAAGGAGAGAGAAAAGATGTTTGCAGCTATACGTTCGATTCAAAAGCCTGTCACAAGTACGGGATTGCGTTCATTGAGTGTACCAGCGTATAAACCCGATTTGAAATCACAAGCAGTGAAGCCTAAGGTGATTGATATGTACAGACATTTTCTTCTTTTCTCTCTTCTCTCTCGTGCTTTGGTGTTTTTCTATGGGACTAAAATTGATGTGAAATTTGTATGAAATGTAGAACATTAAATATTTTAAAATCTACCGTTGGGACCCTGAATCAAAGGAAAAACCATATCAATGCACATATCCTGTGGATTTGGATGAGTATGTAGCATGTGAGAGGGAGAGCTGCTGTTTGGATGTTTTTGATGCTAAAAATATTGTAAATATGTCTTGTAGATGTGGTCCTATGGTGCTGGACGCTCTGATTAAGATTAAGAGTGAACAGGACCCAACACTGACGTTTCGTCGGTATGTTGTGATATGATTCGTGTGGCTGGAATTGAGATGTTGAGTTTTCATTTAATGATGAATTTTGGCGTGTAAATGTGTCTGCAGCTCGTGTCGTGAAGGAATTTGTGGTTCATGTGCCATGAATATCGATGGTGGTAACACATTGGCATGTCTAAGTCCCATTAAGAAGAACAAAGATGTGATCAACATTCATCCGCTACCGCACATGTTCGTTATCCGCGATTTGGTGCCAGACATGACCAACTTTTACGATCAGTACACGTCTATCAAGCCATGGCTGCACTCGGATAAACCCAGCGATGTCAACCATGAGCATCTGCAATCTATTGAGGACCGCAAGAAACTCGACGGTATGTACGAGTGCATACTATGCGCATGTTGCAGCACCTCATGCCCTAGCTACTGGTGGAATCCGGACAAGTACCTAGGCCCTGCTGGTACGTTACTACTGTTTCATTGTGTGGCTGGAAGCACCCAATTAATAGCTGCTTGATGTTCAAAAAACAGTTTTGATGCAAGCATTCCGCTGGATTGAGGACTCGCGTGACGACAAGACGGAAGAGCGTTTGCGCGCGCTAGACGATTCGTTCAAGTTGTACAAGTGCCACACCATCATGAATTGCACGCGCACATGTCCGAAGGGTTTGAACCCGGCTCAGGCTATCGGTAAGATCAAGACGCGTCTTGCTAACTTGCATTAATCTCGCGTGCTGGTGTCCGAGAGATGCAGCAAGCCAGGCCACTGTCCATCCCTAAGGTGCGGTAAGCAGAAGCGGCACAAAACGCATATACTGCCTCTGTCAAGCTTTCGTGACCAACCAGTGTCGGTTAAGGATGCATTAACTGAAAAAAATACAATTTCGCGCTTACGCTCGCTCGAGCGAAGGAGAATCATGAATGAATGCTAGTGCTTTGCATTGTGAACGCTCAGAAACATTGTTTATGGCGCCTTTCATGGTGTCAAACAGGTTCGAATGAAAGCATGTTTATGTTTGTTTATTGAACGTGACAGGTCTACGTTTTGGGTTGACCTGTCGGCCTAGCGCTACCTACTCAACGCTGCACGCCAAAATCATGTCTAATCGTCCTCTTCAACATTGAGCACTTCACTGACACAGAGGAAAAATTAAAAAAAACAATGTAGCAAAAGCGAAAACGCCTTGTGACGAAAGGGGTCCTGGTCCTCCCACGTCCAGCTTGCGACGCCCGCAAGCAGAAAAATTGATCATACATTGCAGGACGATCCCGTCATACCGTTGCCCTCACTCGCTGGTTCACAAACGCCGGTCCGTGACGAATCTTCATCAAAGTCGTCTTCGTGCATGTCTTAAGAAAATTGACAGTCTTCTTCACCCCCATTGTAGATGTGTTGCGACCGTTGATCTCAACGATTACGTCGCCGACGCAAATGTGCCGCAGCAGCTCGCAACACGGCTCGTGGCATACGTCCGTCACCAACGGGTACGTGCCCTTGGCAAGACGTACCTCCTTCAGCTGCAAGCCAATGCTCCGATTTTCCTTCCACTTAATTAAGAACGTCGTACTGTCAGGAGTGTCTGCCATTGTCAACTTGGGTTTTGGTCGACCACGCACTTGGATGGTCGTGTTCACAGCATTTGGAGCGACAAGCGGAACCGTCAAAGCATCATCTTCACTGAGTGCCGGCAGCTTCACAACACCACGACCAGTTTTACCCTTCTTCTTATACTTAGCCAAATTGGCGTGCAACGGTGATTTGTTTGGTTTCGGTACATTAGCTGAATCCATCTTGTCTTTAGGAGCTTCCCGCATCATGATGTCGCTCTCCACGCTATCAATATCACGAGAAATATCCGGATCGTGTGAGAACTCATCCGATGGGTCAGACGCGTCTGCAAAGTCAACCTTGGAGGTTTCCACGTTGTTATCAATCAAAGCGCTCCCGCCACTTGAAGACATAGATTCGTCGCTCACTGAAGTAGCACTACTACGGTGGTGATGATGTATCTTCGAGTCATCAGATTCAAGTTCGAGATCCCAAGGGCTCGTATTCTGGTCACTTCCTGACACACTGCTCTCTGCAACTTCCGAGTCAGCCTCGTCAACAGCAATTCCCATTTCAATATCCGCGAGCATACCTACCTCCACGTCAAGATTGGCACTATCGACTGCTAAGTATCCCACAGGCAGTGGTGGCAATATAAACTCTGCTTCATTGGCAAGCTCATCTTCTTCGCCACACCCGTCTTCTTCAGGTAATCCTGCTTCTGAGCATTCAGCTTTATCAGGCACTTCTGCTACCTCTGTTAACTCGACTTCGTCAAAAAGTTCTGCTTCTACAGCAAACTTGGCTTTTTTAGCCATAACGACGTCCTCCAAATCAATGTCAGCGCTTGGTAACAACGACATACCGGCATCAATATCCTTGTCTACGGCTATTGCCCCCACCTTAAGAATCCTCGGCGATGGAATGTACTCGGGTAAGTCCCAGGGCTCCGTCGGTGACAGACGTGTTAAGCTGCTGACCGGGGACAACACTGGCTCCGCTTCATGCGCAGTAGTTGCTGCTTTTTGATTCCGTCGTTGCTCTTCACTACTATTGCGACTTCGATTACCACAAACGTTCTTACCAAGGCTCTCTTTTGATAATTCAACAGCCCCTTTCTCCACCTCAGTGGCAAAGTCTGCAACAGGCGCTTCGTCAGCGACGTCCATAGCGGATGGCGGCGCCAAATCGCTTGCGTCGTTGGTGATTTCCGTTGCAACATAAGGCGAGCTAGGCGAAGTCAACGGCGAGCTGCTCACCTTAGGAGAACTGCCCATATTTGGCGATGCACTAGGCGAAGAATTCCCAGATTTTGGCAAGCTCCGTACCATGGAAGACGTATTGACTTTTGGCGACATTTGATAATTAGTACCTGAGACATTTTCTGCTACATCACGTTGCCCTGTGTTCGCGGAATCTTTTGACATTACTGGGGAACCAGGAGGGGGCGTACGTTCGTGCCATTTATCCCCATGACGGTGCTCATGATGATGGCCATCGGACTCCAACTGGACTTGAAGAGAAGATGCACAAGGGGACGTAGTAGAAGCACGCTTAGTAATTGGGCTAGAAGTGTGATTACGGTGATGCGTAATACTCTCATTCGGTAATGTTGATGACGACTGGGACGCGTCTTGTGTGCCAGATGATGTGCGACTACGCGACCCTCCTTCGTGGTGATGTCGCTGTTTCTGGTCGCGAGTTTGCTGTTGCTCACGTTGCGGTTGCTCACGTTGCAGTTGCTCACGTTGCAGTTGCTCACGTTGCAGTTGCTCACGTTGCGGTTGCTCACGTTGCAACTGTTCACGCAGCTCCTGTTCTCGCTGTTTCTGATCGCAAATTTGCTGCTCACGTTGCTGTTGCTCACGCAACTCCTGTTCTCGCTGTTTCTGTTCACGAACTTGCTGCTCTCGTTGCTTCTGTTCGCGAATCTGTTGCTGTCGTTGTTCATATAGTTCTTGCTGCTGCTGTTCACGAAGCAGCTGCTCTTGTTCCCTTAACTGTTGCTGTTCACGTTCCTGCTGATCACGAAGTCTATGCAGCTCACGCTTCTGCTCCTGCTCACGCATTTGCTGCTGTCGTGGTTGAAGCTGCTGCTGCTGCTGTTGAGACTCTCCTTGACTAATGGTCACAGCTGCATCAGTTGATTGTCTTCGCCTAAATACCAGCCGTACGGGCTTATTCATCTGCTGAAGGCGGCCAAAAAACGCCTCGAACGTGTATTCCGCCGACTTGATGCCATTGGCTGACACCAGCGTATCATTGACAGCAACAGCACATCGCACCACTGGATTCGCACTTGGAGTCGATCTTGTGACAACTGGCAAACTCGTCGATCGGTTTTCTCCAAAAAACAGACCGAGCGGCCCAGTTTCCCAATACACCTGATACTCATGTGGTCCAAGAGGTGAGTGTGAAAGATTGCCTCCAGACCCGTTCGCCGGTGAGACGTCTCGTGGCGAAACCTGGTGGTCTTTATTGCTCGGCAGCCGGCGCTGCTCATGCGGCGTGGCTATGTGATCACTTCCTCCATTCATCGCATTCGGTCCAATCGAGTGCGATGAATTAACTGGACTAACCGAATCCTTGGCACCTGCAGCACGCCAAAATGCCCCTCGTGTTGCCTTAGGTGGTTTCTGGTCTTTCTGCGGTACCGAGTTGGCTCTCTGAATTTTGCCGGCCATGTCTGTTTCGTCACCATGTGGAACGTTTTGTCTTGCATAATGACTAGAAGGATTCATTGTATTCGTTGAGCTAGAGCGAGGAACACCAAATAGCTGGGCATTCTCTTCGTCATCTGACGACGGAGTGCTGGCTGATAGTCGCTCAAACCGTAATAATACGGGCTTTTTCATCGTAGCTAATATCTTGAAAAAGTCGGAAAACGAATGGTCTTTTGAACGTACAACGTTCACAAACTTGAGGATATCACCCTGATTAACAGCTGATGAGATACACGACTCGGTAGCTTTCGACACGTACGGAATCCCGTCTTTTTCAGATTCTAGAAAGATAACACCCAGTACACCTCGTTCCCATAGTACTTCATATTCATTTTCACCTAATGGTGGTAATTTTTCCCGTATTTTATCAGCCCACGTCGCACGACGTATACTGCTTCCCCCATGCCTGGAGATGAGGAGTTACTATGAGATGCCGTAGAACTACTGGACTTGGTCGAGAACAAAGGACCACCACGAAAGTTTTTACGGGACATTTTCTTCATGGCCGACGTTGTGTAAGCACCTTCAACGTTCCTCCTGCTAACGTCAGTCAGTCAATTGATCAATCAATCAGTCAGTCAGTCCCTTATTACGTCCACGTGACGGTAACTTTGTCCTTCCAATTCTTCGGTTCTTTCACGGAAGACAGCGAATAGACGGTCTTCAATTAAATACGATATTAATAGGTTAGTTTGAAAACCGGTGTACCGGTATATTGGGTTGCTGAGGGAGACCTTGCGTCAGAGGATCGTTTTTGTACTCGAACGACAACATGATAACATGCATAAGAACCACTAATGAACCAATCAAAATTATGCATAATGCACAGAGAAATACGGCTTGCGTAACGCGTTCATATACATACATACTCAAGCTGCAAACCGGTATTCCCGTCCAACTAAGTTTTTGGTGGTAATTTGCTCACGGTGTTTTTTGGATCGTAAATGGGTGATTTGAACGAATTATAGTGTCAACCACCTCAACCTAGAACCACTTTTATCATATGGGCAAAGGCCCCGCCCGACACAAGTAGCGATATGTCTGTGCTCTCGCTGTACGTTTATCATCGTTATGTATGGCTTACAAACTAGCGTAATGGTAGCATTTACTACAACATATTTTGCTGATTGCATGTTAATTTGGACTCGTCCGCATACCAGGGGAAAAAAAACGGGTTAAGGCATTTCGTGCTAGTCGCGTGACGGGGACACGTTCAATTGAAGAAGGCACTGGCAGAGATACAGATCATTAAGCACAATGTTTATGTCCAGAGGAAGGAGCGTTCATTACCAGAGGTACTTGATGGGTCTACAATTGCCACTTGAAAGCTTTGTGCTCTGGTCTTTTTCGGATGATTCTGACAAGTTGCAATTTTGCATTTGAATTGGAATGATTTTCTCGCCCTTCAATGGACGATTGTTTTATTAGGAAGAGGTGTCCATTTGCTTTTTGTAAGCCACCAAAGAACGAGCATGAAATGGGATGTCTTGATGGCTGCTTGAATCGTGCGGTGGGTGGTATTAAAGAACTCGCGTTGTAAGAGCAGATCAACAACATTCACTGATATATACAGTACGCGTGATGGCAGGCTTTGGTGGAATGCATAGCAGGGTTTTGCAAGTGTGGAGATCAGTGCGATAATATGAGGATACAGCGTGGTGTCATGCCTTTAACTAAGCTTATCGATTGCGGGAACAAAGGTCTTGGAATAAGGTTGCTAGAAGATATCAAAGCTGGTTCTTTTGTAAGCGAATACATGGGCGAGATCGTGACAGAGCAGGAGTATCACATGCGACGAGTGGTGGGTACTTTACTATTTGCATCGTGCTTGTTGTGTTTGCACTAACATGTTTTCTGCAAACGCTTCAACAGCTTTACCATAATGAGAAACATCGCTATATAATGGTGTTAAGCGGCGGTGAAGTCATCGATGCTACGCGTATGGGAGGTTGGGCGCGTTTCATCAACCACAGCTGTGATCCAAACTGCGGTGTAGAGAAGTGGGATGTCAATGGTGAAGAACGATGCGCCATTTTTTGCTCTGCGTGATATTGCTGCAGGCGAGGAGCTGACATTTGATTACAAGTTTGAGTCCTTTAGCAAAGCCGTACGTTCTCAGCACCTGATGCTCTTGAATGTGTAATTGCTAACCAGCTGCCTTTTATATGTACAGGAAATAACGGAGTGTCTTTGTGGAGCACCGAACTGCCGGAAGGTAATCGGAGTAAATAATCGTGTGTCAAAAGGTGATTAAGCCGTACCACATCAATAACAAGACGGAGGCGATGACACCTGTTGTTGGCTCGAAACTGCTCGACCCTGTCATAGGACTGAAAGCAAGGCCATTTCAAGGTGCAAAGGTTTGTATTCATACGTTATTGCTTGAATTTCACAATCGTAAGTTATTTTTGCTATTGCTCGATTGTTAAATTGTTACAGAAAGCAGAAGCTTTAATGCAGCGAATGGCACGGCAACGCCTTCTAAGCAGCAACGATATGCGTGTGTTACGTCGGTCACACGTGATGTTACAACGAAACTTGACGTGGCACATGGAAAATGATTTTGATCATTTGGCACTACTACCCTACTTTATCATGAAACACTCGTCCATGAAACACGTACCGGAACTAAAGCATGTACCGGATTTTTTCAACTGGAGAGACCTGCCCAATTTTCCAAAAAAAGCTCGTCGCTTACCTCGAAAGGCAAAAATTGCTCGACTTCGTGATATTACCGAGACATTACAAGCTCGTCAGAAGCAATAGGAGGAGGGGAGTGGCATTCACGAAGTTAAGAGTTTATATGGATTGCATAAAGCTGAAGCCATTATTTGTAGCTCAAATGTTACATGATTGTTCCATTTGTATATCTTATGACCTATGAACTTTTCCAATTGGTTGAAAAGCCAATAATAGGCTCAAGAACAAATTAAGACACGCCGTCGGCATAACGAGTGTCAAAGACCTTTCGTTCGTAAGGTGTTGACGTGACTTGACAGCTTCATTTTCACTTAAGGTGTAGCTTCATTAATGCACGTTCTCTTCTCTGTCTTATGCATGCAATTGTTTGTATTGCTTCTATAACACTAACTTTGAAATTTGATGATTGTAGCGTAATCTTCCGATTAGAAACGTGGTTAATAGCCATGGCAGGATACGACCACGAATCGAGTCTAAGCACGAGCATAACACAGCGCAATGACACTGGCAGGGTCACGTACGATCCTAATACAAATCACGGGTGTCAGCCCAGCGCTGCAGAAGCGCGCGAGTTCCGCAAGGTGAGCAAGCACAATGGGCAATTGAGAGACGACAGTAAGAGAAGAACTGAAGCTAATACCAATATGGGGACTTGTGCTGGTGTTATTGTCGCAGCGGTGGCTTCTGCTGACAGATCGTGAACGCATAGCGGCACTGAGCGGAGATGTGAATCAGTTTTTGCAGACAGCAACCGATCTGCTGCCGTGTCCTGGCTGTCGTAAGAATGCGGAAACGCTATTTTACAAGCTAGCAGACGGCATCGTTCGATTGCCACAGGCTGTCAGTAAATCGGGTCTTTGCTTTAATAAAGACAATCGCTTCCGACTCAACGAATCGTATTTGAATAGTCCGGACACGTCATTCTTGCTTTTCTACCACCAAGAGCAATGGACTAATGAGGGGCTAACGAAACCAACGAAACCTAGCAGTAAAGCTGGTACATCACGTGCAAGATGTCAGCTGCACTCGCAGCGGGTGCGTGGTCGCCCGCGTCCTGCGGCATTCGAGGCACTGTGGCTTAAGCTGCCGGAAGATCACCAGCGACATCTCTCTCATATTGACTCAGACCAGTTCCTGACCGACTTGGAAAACTATTTGCGACGTCATCGTTTTTGTTGCCGGTGCAAGGAAAAAGTATTAGAAGCATATGATTTGCTTATTGAGTCGAGCTGTAGTGAGGACGATTGCGAGGATTGTGGGGGCTTTGCATGCGTGGAGAAACATCATGAACATAGCGATTATGGCGATGATTTACACTATACGTCTTACTTATTTGACGAGCTTGCATTTTTTCGCGCTACAAACCAGATCATTGTGCCCTGTAATATTGAGTTTATGTCGCAGTTGATGTCCAGAGCAGATCAGAAAATTGTAGGTGATTGGGGTGATCGTCATGCACGGACAATCGCTGAAGCACAGGATGAAGTATTGATATGTCTAGGTATGGTTATTTGGGACAAGATGCAGAGCGTATGGACCAAGTCTCGATCCGAGAAGCGGTCAGAAGAACTGCTGGTGCATTGCGCTGTGTCTACACTGCGCCGTAACTTTGATGAGGCGGTGGAAGCATTGCATGGTGAGGAGATGATGGAACAGCTATTAGCAGAAGAAGATGATGAGTCTAGGAGATTGGCGAAGAAGAAAGAGAAGCGAAAGGAAAAGAAGAAAAAGCGCAAAACAGCATCAAAACTGAAGCTAGCGTATCGGTCAGAATCAGAGAAAAGTCATCAGTCTGAGAAGCAAAAGCTTAAGCAGACTAAAACGCGTAAGCAATCTGATAGCAGCAAGACCGTGGCATCTCAATCATCTACCAATTCACTTAGCAGTCAAGGTGACGACGACGATCTCACGAGTTCCAGTAGATCCACGGATGCGACGGGATCGCATCAGTGTGACTCGATTTGTGACGAGCCGTGTCAGGGTGGAGATTTGACACAGGACGAGCGTACGGAATGGCAATTGCTATCGTCTATGGGATGGAATGCATCGAACCAAATTATACCATCCTTGCCGGAGTTGGACGTGGATACGGATGACGAGAATCATGGCATTCCTGAAGACGACATTCGTTTTTGGAAGCAGAATCGTTCAAGTCTTGTTCGACGACGTATGGCTCAACGGCAGAAACTGCAGGAACGTTTCGATCAGTTTGTTTTGCGCACGACATCTCTCGATGGGTAGCACACCTTGAATCAGGACCGATTGACTACATTGGAGGGCTTGTCTGCCGGGACATGCTAAACCTGCGGCTTGCCAGTTTTATTATGTTGAGCACTAAACTTTGTTAAGCTGCCAATAGTTTTCAAGGAAAGAAGTGGCGAGTTTGAATGATAACTCATTTTCTTTTTCATTACTCCTACTTGCAGTTCAAAGTCTTTCTTTGCGTAGGGAAGACGGAAGGCTAAAGCAGGGCAAAAAAGGGATTCGTATGTGGCTATAGTCTCCAGTGCTTTACATCAAAACTCTACCTTACTAAGCTCAAATTCCAAGGACGAAATGGCACGATCGACCATGTCCTTGTGGTTCGTACATGCCATAAGAACGTTCGTAATCGCATGCCGATTCTTGTCAAGCAACGCTTGATAGCTTTCCGTCATTTCCACCGATCTGTGAAACATTTACAACACATTAATGGCTGGTTGCCAGAGCTGATCAGACGAAGAACAAATACTTACGCCTTTTTGACATCCAACAAATGCTGCTGCGAGCTAATCGCCTCTTCCTCGACTAAGCTGTCTTCATTTGAGATATTCGTGATCTTGATCTCAACTTCTTCAATCGCCGCTTGCTTTCGACTAAGACTCTCGGCTCGTTTTTCACGCTCTCTGGTCATCTGGTCGGCAAACTTTTTCACCTTGGATTCCCATCTCTTCTCAGTTTGTTTCTCGATGCTCAGCTGATTCTCACTTTGCTCCAATTCTTCAGTGAGCACAAGTGCTAAGTCCAGACGCTCGTTGGCGCGCGCGTTACGGTTTTGCTTGAGTTTTGATGCTGCTTGCCGAACTTTTGTCTTCAAATGGTGCGATAACCTCAATACTGCTTCAAGTTCTTCAAGCTCGGGATCCAATTCGAGCGTGTAATCAAAATTGTGAGCGTGTTTTGCGGTTGCAGGAATGATCTTCAGCCGTTTGCAAGTGTTCCTGTACTCGTGGATCTGATTGTCGAGCTGCAAACACATTGTACAACATGAGAAGGGATACAAGTGTCAGAATACAAAGGCCTCTATAGATAGTAGTACTACTTAAGTACAATGGTACGTACACTGTCCCGAATATTAGCGGCACGGTTTTCATCATTTTTGATTTGTGTTTGAAGCTCATCTTGACGAGCAAGATTATGATGAAGCTGATCCGTCAGTCGCGCCCTTTCTAGAGCTATTTGCTCGATGTCGTGTGCAGACAGTTCCTGATTCTCGATACGAGTGTGTAGCTTCTGAATTTCTTCCTGACGGGCACGGAGATCGTTCTCTGTAAACACAACATACAGTAAATAAAACACAGCGAGCTAGCGGTAATCTTGATAAGTAGTGACAGCGACGTACCCAATGATTGTTGAACTTCAGCAAGAGCCTCCACCTTCTTGTCAAGTTTGGCATTAAGTGTCTCATATCGGCCAACTAACTCCTTGAATTTAACAAGATCGCTCTGACAATCAGCTTTCTTTTGTTTAAGCTCCGAAAGGGCATTCTAAACATACATCAATGACATTGTACCGTCAACTAACCAAACAGTCTTTCCAGAAGTATTTACAGCTGATATAAATGCTCAGTGAACAACCTTATCTGCTTTGGCCTGGTCAATTCGTTTTCGAAGCTCTTCGCGCTGCACTTCCAACTGACTCGTCTCCTGCTTGACCGTCTCATTTCGCTTGACTGCAACAGCCACGTCAGTCCACCAGTATCTCTCAGCCAACTAGCTGTAATAGGGTACAAATTCGTACTCAATTTCTCCTTCTCCTGTTTCTCTAACGCTGCAAATTTGTCATCTTCACCGGCTAAAAAGACGCGATACGAAGCATCCAAATACCTAAAAAACTGTTTGTTTCCGTTTTCCTCGTCGGTCGCATCATTCAGCTCTGTCTCGTTAGCCTCCTGCATAGTCTCATCATACTAAAAATACACAAAAACAGGCAACAACCAATATAAGCACCCAAAGAGTAGCAGCAACAGCAGCAGCTAAAGGCCACATACAGTGAGCAATTCAATCAGCCACGAAATAGACAGCAGCAGTGTAGGCCACGTGTGAGGCGTGCCCACTGCTGCTAGCGACGTCTTGCTAATCGGAAAAGGATACCGTAAATTCCGAAACTGTAGCACGACGTCCTCTTCAAACTTGGCACCAAATTCAAAAGTCGGGTCCACCTGTTTAAACAGGAATAGAATCATATTACAGAAATCTTTCTTCGATGGACCACGCTTTAACAGCCCTGGAGTAAGTATCTGATCGTACATACGATCGTTTAGAAACTCAACCAGCATGCGGACACAATTATTCAGGTACGAGCGGTCGGTGACGGGCCGAGGGTCTAAGACGCGTGCACCACCGCGGCTAGACATCGACGCCCGTGCTCTATACGAACTACTTCGACGAGTAGTTGTGGAGCTACCTGCGGATTTGCGTGAGTTAATAGATACCCGTGGGCCTGTAGGGGGTCGTCGCATAGTGTGACCAGAGACGGCTGTGGAGACCCGACGATGAGGGACAGCCCCAAACGATTGACGATCTATACTCTTATTAATACTCTTACTAGGAACAGACACCCGTGTAGACGGATGCCGTAGAGCTGATGGACGTGCATTAAGCTGCGACGACGACGCGGGACCGAGTGTCGTACGCCGCATTTGAATTGATAATAATATTTATAAAGATGCGTCCGAGATATTTGATTTTATAGCTAGAAAGGTGATGTTTTTATAGGTATGATATAATTGGTCAAAAAAGGAAGGAAATGGGATAAGTCCTATGCACTGCGAACCGATCGCAGTTCAATCATTGGGGATAGCATGTGGACCACAACACTATACCAATATGCCTGCTTTTTATAAAATGAGCCATCGAAACTGTGATTCTTACCAAGTCAAAATACTCCTCCATGCTCTTTTTTCCGCAAATAATTCAAGTTTTAGAATTTCGATTGAATTGCATGAAAAGAAAGCACTATTTCAAACAAATGTACCGGAGTTATAACCGGTATTTTGGTTTTGATGCTCACGATCAGATCGCAATGTACTAGCTTTTTCCGACATCTGGGAATGCTACAGACGGAACCACTGCTTGTTGTACGTACCTACAGAAACAACGACTTGCGGTTTTGTATTCCCGATCGGATCACATCGTAAGGAATTTCAAATTCGAACGAACTGCCTCTACTTGGTGGTTGGTGTCTTCCCGATAGTAAAGAGCTTTCGAAGTGTACCGCTGGAAGTGGTAGGTCGACCAACTTTCGCGCCATTGCACGATACTTTGGTCATGACGATCGAGCAGGAAGCTAAAGCTTTGCGCATCTTACGCCAAACACAGGAAGTCACCAATGGCAATACCACCACTGCTTCAGACGCGCCTACGACTGTGAACATGTCAGTACTTTCGAACGCAACTAACTATGTCGATTCCAACAGCATTGGGCACGTCAAGGTGAACAACGACATGGGCTGGTCGAACATTCTTCCGAATGATTCCACCGTGCATATTATCTACAAAGAATCTGGTCCTAGTGGGGAGATTTTAATCATCCCCGCAGGGCAGAATGCATCGGACGCTACAAATTCCTCGTTTAGCGGCAGCGACTGGATGTCAGGGAGCGATTCAACTAATCCAGTGAACACATTGCCGACGGAGTCCAGCGACGACAATGTTAGTAGGGAAAGCAAGGGTTTAATACGCACAGGATCAAGCTCGGTCATACTCGTGGTTGTTGGCACGGCCCTGGCACTCGTTGCTATCGTGTCAGTACTTGCAGTAGTGGTTTACAGTCGAAGGAATCGACGACGAGCATACTCCGAAGATCAGAGCAACTCGGACCAGCCTTTCATCGTGGGCTCGCTTCCCCACCAGCCAGTCCCGCAACTCAGCTTGCTCGACACGGACATGTCGCCGAACCTTTGGCTGGAAGGCCAATACCAGTACTCACCCAACATGAGCGGGATAAGGAACTCGCTCAACGGTACTGCGATCCTGTTGGACAACAGCACGGCTGCAATGCATCACCGATACACAGTTGACGCTCGTCCGTCCAGTCGTCGAGGCCACCGTAGAAATGATGGGCAAGGTGATGTTGAGCTTGATCAGCGTGGAAATACTGGGCGTAATCATGCTGGGTATGGCAATACTGTGCGTGAAGATTCCGGACGTGACGGTAGCGTGCGTGGAAATAGTGTGCGTGACGGTAGCGTGCGTGGCGGTAGCGCGGCGTGGAAATAGCGGGCATGTCCAAGGTCGTAGCCGTATCCATGTTGGTCGTCGTGACGATAGTGCTTGGCGTGAGCGTGGTGTTCTGGATGATATTTCAGATCGGAGTCGTCGTCGAAGAGGGACAACACCCATCGTTTTATACGACGAAAACTCAACTGAAGAGCACAAATCCAATCCAAGCAGAATACATCAACATCCACGAACATCAGTGTCATCGCAACAACAGCGTCAGCGTCTACAGGAGCAGCAACGAAAACGCCGTCGTGACAAGTATGCTACGAGGCGAGATAGATAAGTTGTTCATTTTCTTGTTACCAAGTTTCTAAAGTATGCTTCATTTGTCAATTACGTATTCAAAAGTAGGCTAAAATTGCCACCATTGTACCGACTATTTGGTACCAAACATCTCTTGAGCTACTGGTAGACATTGTCAATCAGCTTGTAGCCATGGCTCGGGGCAATGCAAAATACTCGGTGGCCGAATTGGTAGCCAAAGCGGAAGCGCTAGTGGACCAATGTCAGCCAGAGTTAGCCGCTCAATTTTATGAGAAAGCATTGCTACAAGAACCAGCCAACACATCGCTGCTAGACTCGATCGGAGAGCTGAGCACGGAGCTGGACAACCCCGAGCGGGCACTATCCGCTTTTCAGCAGAGTTTGTCACTGGCCCCGGCACAGAACCCAGCCAAGTATTTCTACCTTTCACAGTTGGTTGCAGGCGAGGAGGCTGAGCACTACACGGTACAGGGCATCACTTACCTGCAACAGGAACTGCAGCAACATATGGATCCCACTACGCCGGAGGCGCTCATTATTAAGAAGCAGATCTGCGACGCCTTGTGTTCACTAGGCGAGCTCTACATGACGGACTTGTGTGACCATGAGGAGGCAGAGACACAGTGTGAGAAGTATTTTCAGGAGGCCATGACGTTTGACATCGGTTTGCCGGAGCCGACGCAAGCTCTGGCCAACTTGCGACTAGTGCAGCAGAACAAGGAGGCGGCGGATGAGCTACTGGAGGAGACTTATCGCCGTCTCAACGAAAATTGTACCGAGGAATTTCTGCCGTCACTAGAGTTCCGCACGGCGACGGGCAAAATGCTCATTGAGGTGGAAAGGTACGAACAAGCGTGCGACGTGCTGGAAGGAGTGATGCAAGAAGATGACGAGAACGCAGAGCTCTGGTTTCTTGTTGGGACATGCTATCGTGCGATGGATGATTTGTCAAGTGCGCTCGAATTTTTTGAGAAGTGTCAGACGATGCTTAATAAACTTAAGAAGGAGCTGCGTGACGCATTCTATCTGCAAGACCAGCTTGAAAGCGTTGTAGAAACTATCGCTGAACTCAAGGCCTCTATCGCTAATGGGCAGCCGGAGCTTGACGAGGAGAGTGGAAGTAATGAAGACGAAAATGTTGTGGCCAAGACGGTAGGAAAGGAAGATGTGGAGATGGAAGAATGAGCAAAGCGGCGCGCCATAAATTTCGCAGAAGACAATGTATTTTCGATAATTTCCTCTTGAGTGTACTGTCTGTCTTCAGTTGACCCACGCAAAAAGTTGAGCAAGTCTTCTGCCACTCATTGCTCTCCGTATCTGTAAGAGGCATCACATCGCAATTCGGACGTAAAGTGAGAAGTCTTCTCATTGCGATTGAGAATCAATTTCATTGAAGACACTAAAATTGGCATTGGGGATAATTATCAACAACTAGCGAAATGGAAACCATACTTGCGGAATTTTGCTTAAACGCTTTACCAAGGCTCGAGTCCTAAAACATTTCGCCTGTTAGAACAGTATCCAGAAAAAGACCACCAGCAAGTGTGTGAACACGAGTCCAGCAGAAGCTTGTCACTTTCGTATAACGTAGCCTTCTAGGATGTGTATTACTCACAAAATGAAGTGCAGCAAAGCAATCTCATTTGTCTCGAAGTCATTGCAACAGGCGAATGGGCAAACCAAATGCACTTATGCGAGGCCCAATTAGTGCAAAATTCAGGGCGAGGCACCGCAAAATTACCTTAATGTCGGCATTGCATCATCATACGAGTACTTTATTGTGACGATTACACACACGTCGAAAGAGACAAGGCATAAATTACTGCCACTACTTGGCAATCTTGTTGTCCTGAACTAAGAGAAGGGGCAGATCGAGTAGCAAGACTAGATGCCTTGTACAACACGCAAGGTAGAGGGTGAGAGCAAAAGTGTAGCTGCTACGTGCCGTCTACTTTGCTTGTACAAAGGGGGATAGTACTTGTAGATTGCAATTTTTTGACAGATCTGCTAATTATTCATAACCATTCTCTACGCGGTTGCAAGACATGCAATTGCAATCCACGGCACAACAACAAGAAGCTCCGGTATATATACCTGCGCTAGCTGTGGAATAACGATCGACACACGACCAGATGGTTTTGATTACCTTGGTGCAGTGGTGTTGCAATAGATTATGAGCCCATCCGGCGCAAGTTTCATCACCACTGGATTTATAAGACGATGCCTTGCTGGTATTAAGACAAAAAAGGCCAACTAGGGGATGAGCACAACGAAAAATGTCAATCGTAAGAGAGAGAAAACAGATTGTCTAAATTACTGTTTAGTGCTGGAGCTTTGCTAGTAGTTAACCACAATAACGACGCTGGAGGGTCCAGGAGTTACGTATGGATAGCAACCTGTCTATCATAGCCGAACGGCTCTCTCGGTTCCGTTACAAAGATGTCGTTCCATGCAAAAAGTTGCGCGGACGGTTATTTCTGCCCGGCAATGGAGACGTTCGAAGAGCACCCGGAGTTGAAGCTGATCCGTTCCAGATGGCGGCTTCACGGGCTACCAACAAGATAGCCGCGTTGTGAAAAGCTTTGTTCTCTCGGTGTTTCCAGAGCATTGTGATAGTGGCGGTCGCTGCAACTGCCAATATTGTTCCCCAAACTGTGGCGAACTGCCCGGTGTCCTCGAGTTTTGGGCCAACACATTTGCTGAGACCCGCGGCGACATGCTTGGGACTTGATAGTTAGTACGTTGCTCGATCCAATGGAGCAGTGGTAACTTTTTGAGGGGAGCCCTTTCAATACTAACGAGACGGACCCAGACTGCTTGGGCGCGGGGAAATTCCCAAAGAGATACTTCTGGATTCCCAGGGTCCCTCACATTTCCGGTACGTGCAGTTGCCGTCGCTTGGCCACTTTTGGTACCATAACTTGGCGTCGCGATAGCATTTTCATCACAGATGTTCGGTTACCGCGAGCTCGTGGTCCCAAAACTGAGATGTGGGAGACGTCAAGAGCTGCACATTGCCACCAAGTATGCCGGCTTTCGGTGATGATTCGGTCAAAGCTTTGCTAAGTGGTGCGGCAAGACGACACTTTGTTGACGCGAAAGCTTGTTGTTTGAGAGACTGGAGGACGCAATGGTCGGGAAAAGTAGGCGGATACCGATGAAGCTGAGAGATGGTAAAAGACGACTCCATTCCGAATAAGAGTGTGCTCTGCGAGTTGGGTGAGCGCTGGGGTGCCCCGTCATCAGGCCGGCGGCGTTGGACTTCGAGTACCTAAGTTATCCCGTCCAGGCATTGGGTTGTTATAGCGTCAGTACGATCGACATATTCCCAGATTCGCCTGGAGGCCGCGCCAGCTCGTGATCGAGCTCCAAACACGTTAATTTTACCTCTTGCAGACAAATTGTTGAAAATCGGGATGAACCTTACTGAGAAGCCGCGATATGCAGCACGACAGACCAAAGTGGTATCGGTGTCTTTTTATACGCATGAAAAAACACTCGAACAGACAAACCAACTGCCGAGGCGAGCGGAGAAACGTGTAGCTGGCTATAGGCAGGAAGTGCATCGTCAAGAGCGGTAGAGCAAGGTTAGTGGCGACAGTAAAAGCCGGCCTAGTGTGTGTGACGGAGACAGAGATCTAGTGTAAGCAATATCAAGCAAACCGCTAGGTCAGAGCAGCACAGTTTGAATGTCAGCTTTTCCTCTTTTACCTCATCAGGCGCAAATCCAGCATT